ATGCGGTCGCGAGAGCGGTGGCACCCTCCCAGGAGAAGAAGACAAAGAGGAGTGGCGCAGGTGATCAGACATGTCGTGAAGGTGAGAAAGAGAGCTTCTCGAGACCGTCGTTTGACTGCTAGGCCCTGAGGCTGACAGCGGAGCTAAAGCTAACGAGCGCCGCGGCTTTCTGCCACGAGGTGTCGAACAAGACTTGATAGACGAGGATATATATGAGTCCACCCGGATGATTTGGAACAAAGCTTTTCGTCGAGGAGTGAGATAAAGACTATCATAGACTATTGAAATTCGGTGCAGTCAGGTTTATGCGGTCGCCGCGCCAGTTTACTTACAGCTGATTCAGAGCTACATGCTACCGCGGCCGATAGCGCCGAGAATAATAGTAAATTCGTACCGCAGACACAGGGAACTCATGATCAGCCAGAGCTACAAACAGCATGTTGGTAATGGCGGCGAAGCCCAAAGGATCCACGCATTATAATATTGGGAGACAAGCCAAAGGACAACGGAAGCAAAACAATCAGTATGTTGCCCAAAAAGGCTCCGGTAAGATACTTCGCATGACTGCCAATGATACATACGATGAGTTCACACCGGTTTGCATGCGATTAAAAATCCCTCACCTTTCCAATGGTCCAGTGCGCCATCGGCTTGCCAAGCATTGAGTTTATTATTCTGGTCCTTCAAGACGTACTTTTCTCCGTCCTCTTCCGATTCGCCTCGAATGAGTTTGAAGTCTACTTCGCGGTCTGCAAGGGTTTCGAAGACATGGGCGCGGAGATGTGAGCCTAGGAAGTCGGACTCGCGTGGTTTGCGGAATTCCAGAGGTTTCGTTGATGGTGAACAGAAGTAGACCTGAGACGACCATTCAGTCAAGACATGAGAATGTTTAAGAGGTATTGGCAGGAAACCCGTACCATATTGATAAATTCCTTAGAATCTGTCGTCAGCGGTTCTTCGCCATCATGGAATGCCCGACATTGGCCGAAACTCTTTTGTAGAGTATACAAAGTAGCCTTCGAAGGTAACGAGCCAAGTAGCCCAGCGAAATTCTGCAGGAGATAACTTAAGCCCAATATCCCATCGTTCATAGTGGCACCACTTACTACCGCCACAACGCCATCGGGGTTCATCAAAACCTTGAGATCTTCCCAGAATTCCAATGAGTAGAGATGTGCTGGGACGCCGCCGCCGGAGAAACAGTCGTGTATCACATAGTCAAACTTCTCAATAGATTCGCCACTTTGTATTTGGCGCCTTCGCTTCATGACGAAGCTGCGGGCGTCCTCCAGGAAGACTCTTCCCTCGCCAGGGTCTGGGAGGCCAAAGAATTGTCTGGAAGCATTGTACACGGCAGGGTCAATTTCGACGATCGTGGTCTGCACTTTTTGCCTAGCGAGGGCTGTTGCAGCAGTGCCGGCGCCCAGACCACTGCAAGGAGTCGTCACTTTCAGTTTAGGCCTCACGCAGTGAAAGACGAAGCCGCGCACATGATCAAGGCGTTATCCTTCTCTTCTGTTATATCTCGATCCTTCTTGTCCACCAGACGTACGGCTTCCTGCAGATTGAAGGCAGTGTAGATAGTATCACCAAGCGGACGTCCTGCCTGATCCACCTGAGGAACCATGATCTGGGATCTACTCGAGATCTTAGCTCCCCACCATACACCGCCCAGAAGTGAATGGGAAGCACGGAGATACCGTACTAAGTATGGGAATTGCTCCGGCATACCTGGCTGCCAGTCTGGTGGAGGTAGAGATTCGCCAACAACAATCATACCTGTAACGGAAGGCACAGAAGAAAGAATGCGGATAGTAGACTCGGGATTCGTGTATGGGGAGGTGAGAGGTTGAGGAAGCACAGGAGACCGGAGAAGCGGCATGATTGTAGGAAGAAGAGGCAGCAAGATTGCAGGTAGAACAAGCTGTTGCAGGAAGGATGACATCTTCTGAGGCTTTGTTTCGCTTCCAGCAGTCGACTCGGCGCGGTGTGGAGACGTGATTGCCCAGGTAATTACGGCGAAACTACCCATGGCCAACATCTGAGCGCGACATCAATAAATCTTGCACACTAAGAACACATAAATTACTCACAAGATGGTCGTCCGAATATATATAATCGGCTAGGTATGGGACCTCGGCCCATATTGCTTGAAAGCCACTTATACTAGAAGCACATGCGGGGAGTACAGTGTAGCGCATCATGGACTGTTGTTCGGAGCTGGCTTCAATATATAACTGCGTAACGTCCGCGTGAGCCCAGAGGACAAAGAGAACCGGCTACTATATTCCACATACCACCATCTTCCTGATGAGCGAAACACCAAAATACATCACCGGGAACAGAACAACGATATGTGTAACGAGGGGTCCATATACGGGGTCGCCCCATCTACCTGTGTACAGCGCAACCCAGTATGAAGTATTAGGCATTGCGCACAGCAAGATGCCTGACACGAGAAGGGAAAGCCAGCCTGGTAGACTCGGGGCAAGTCCACCTGTGATACTTGCCGCCCATATGATCTTGTCCAGGTGTCGCTGCGTCGGTACGCCACCATATAGAGGATCAAGGACGCGTCGGTAGAGGAAGGTCGTCAACGAGAGTCCTGCTAGCACAGCGAGAATTGGAAAGACCAGCAGCACGGTCGTTGCAGACTGCTTCTTCTTGGGCTGGGCCGCTGTAGTCGCAGTCATCCTTGGGGTCGGGGTAGGCTGTGAGGTGACGGGTTGCGTTTGAGCCTTTTTGTCGCCGGCGCGAGCAGTCTTGGAACTGGACGACATGGCGCCTTGTTTGCGACGTGGCTGAGGAGGCATCTGTTCAAGGTTTAAGTACGTGGCATGAAGAGAAGGACGGGAAGGCCATGTTGCTTGCTACGAATAGAGCCCAGGCACATGTAGATGCCGACAATCCTCCATACAGCCCCGCTGGTCACATGTCCATTCGGCCTCTCTCGATCATCATCCTCGCTTACTGTCCTTCTCTCTCTCCTTATACGCTCTTTATCCAAACGGCTGGACCTTTGGACTCCTTAGTGCTTGGTTCTCGACAGACCCCTCTCTTATTTTTCCATTTACTCGCATAACAGCCATGGAGAACGAGGGCCCCGTCGACTCGTCACACGTCTTCGACAGCTTTGACATAGATCTAGTGGTCAAAGTACTGGCTCATACCCTGTTTGGTGAGTCCTACAGCATATGTGCAATGTCTTCACATCGTGACTGGCACACCAGGCCCCTTCTTTGTTTTCTTTGTTCCAGTGTTCTTCATATTTCAGGGCGCCAAACTGCACGATCTCCAAGTGGTGGCGGCCATAGTATATTGGATTGTCATATGCTGCTTCTGTACGTGTGCTCTTGTAATACGTATACTCCCGGCTCACGCCTGTCTCTAACAGGGTTTATAAAATGGTACTCGAGGTTATACCGTAATCAAGGTAGCCTGCTATTCGGCCCTCCGCCCCTGGACTGGGGCGAGCAGGTCGTCCTCATTACAGGAGGTTTGCAAACAACATCATGTCGCTTGACATACTCTGAATCTTTGCATCCAAGGGGCTTCTGGGATTGGTGAACTTATTGCCAACACCTTAGCAGTCCGCAATGTGACCGTGGTCGTATTGGATGTCAAACCCATTGTGACCGAGAATTGTAAGTCGAAGTTAATGACCTCGCTACTACGCCGACGCACTGCACGAAGAGCAGTTCGTCCACTCGCTTGCTGCGCAAGTTTACCGTGGTTTCTAGACGCCGCTGACAATACTCTTCACAGATAATATCACCTACTACCAATGCGACGTCTCTAAATGGGAAGAGGTCGAGGCTGTATCCAAGAAGGTTATAGAAGAGGTTTTTCATTCGTTCACTTATCTGCCGGTGTTCGGAATTGACGCCGCATCCATCAGATTGGACATCCCACAGTCTTGATCAATAATGCGGGTGTTGTGCAAGGAAAGCGTATCCTGGATCTGTCCGAAGAAGATCTGCTGCAGTAAGTCGAAATGCATCTATCGAGCACCCATGCTGATCGCGACTTCTTGCTTTCAGAACTTTCGGCGTCAACACACTCGCACATTTTTGGACTTTGAAAGCTTTCTTGCCCAACATGATAGCCAGTAAAGCAGGTCACATCGTAAGTCACGTCAGTGCTATCCTGCTGGATTATATCAGGCTCACACTGGCTCGTAGATTACTGTTGGTTCCGTATCTGGCTTGATTGGGATCGCCCGAATGAGTATGCACCTTGCAGTGCTGTCTTTGCCTCGTTACTTACTACCTTCACTACAGCGGACTACACCGCATCCAAGGCTGCTCTTGTTTCCTTGCACGAGTCGCTTCGGTACGAGCTGGACAAATGGTACGCCGCAATATCCAATTAACGTCCGTCGAGTTGGCTGACATTATCCAGTTACGATGCACCTGGAGTCCGGACAACCCTACTGTTGCCGGGCCACGTATTGACTCCTCTTTTCTCTACGGTCCGCTTGCCGAGCAGCTGGCTTTACAAGTTCTTTGTGCCCTCTGTAGCTCCTGTCGATGTCGCAAAGAAAGTCATTGCGGCGTTAGATGAGCAGCATTCACAGACGATCTACTTGCCTTTCTACACCAATTTCGTACCTTTCCTCAAGATAGTGCCTAGTTTTGTCAGAGACTTTGCACAATGGGTGTGTATCCTCTCAACCGGTCCTATCTGATCCTGATCCTAATGCTTCGTTTCAGCTGTCGTATGCCGATCATGGGATGGAAGATTTTGTAAAGGTATCCGGCAGGCGTCCTGACGAAGGAGCTATTCCAGAGGCATCCCAACGGTCGAAAGCAGACTGAATGCTAGAGAAGAGATGAAGATATCACTGGCCTTATTAATCACACGTCACTGTCACTGTAATGCTGTAGATATTTATGTCGTGAATTTAAGCAACCGGACATCTGAGGCTAGCAGGATCTAGCATCGTTTTCATGGGCAGTCTTGCCGTAACATGATAGGGTTAAAGTGGCTTTCAGATTTAAGCCCTCGTTGTCTAATGGTTATGACGTCAGACTTCTAATCACGTGATAAAAATCTGGAGGTTGCGAGTTCGAGTCTCGCCGGGGGTATTCTTTTTTTTTTCTAGACCTCGCATCCTTTATCACTGGCGCAGCTTTGATACGAGTCAGAGCATCTACTGACACGAGACTCATTCCTCGTGCTACTATATCCTATAGGTCTCAACTATAGTCATATTTCTCGTCAGAGGCAACTACAGGCCCTCAATCTGCTTTATCACTGGAACAGTTGTCACAATCCCACAGCTTGTCCGAGTTGACCATGGATAAGAACAACATCCCTATCTGCAGGAGACCGGAAATTGCTTGAGCATTGGTAGGTACATAAATGAGAGTAATTTTCTCTAATCGTCAAATCCCGCAGCCTCCCTCAGCTCCTTCATCTGTTCCGAAGTAATCTGTGTGGACCTCCACATGGACTCCGTGGCCACGATATTGTCTTGTAATTCACGAGCAAAGCCCTGGAGGTTCTCACCACAATCTACTCCTAGGAGCACCCGGGTCCACTTTGGGTCCCAGCCTTCAGCCATGCCTGTTCCCGTGCCAGCCTCGTACATCCTCTGCGCGGCTACTCGAACATCACCGATCCATTTGTTCTTGAGAAAGAAGTACGGGAGCCTGCCAGACTGCCCGTATAGGTTGCTGTAGGCGCTGCCTTCCGCGTCGTCGGTACTATCCTTCCGAGCAGCCTCCGCCATTGTGGCAGCTGTATCGAACCAGTTCGTTTGGAAGAATCCTGGCTGGACAATAAGGACGCGGATATTCCATGCAGCAACCTCTTGCGCCAAGACTCCGGTTAGGGAGTCAAGCGCAGCCTTGGTGGCGCAATAGGCAGCAATACCGGGAAATGGGATGAGTGAGGCGATGGAGGAGATGTTTAGGATGGTTCCGGAATTTCTGGCGCGGAAGGAAGGAAGCAGGGACTGTGTAAGGTAGGTAGGAGCAAACACGTTGACGTGAAATTGCTCCTCTAAACTTTTCCCCCTGTCGCAAGGTTAATCACCAAATCCGCGGCCGCCACTGAAACACGCACTCAATCTCCTCAACCGGACTTTCCAGGCCGTAACCGGCCATGTTTACCAGTACATCGATGTGGCCATGGATACTCAGGGCCTTCAGTCCAGCCGCTTTGATCTCCTCCTGTGACCAGCTCAAGTCAAGCTGGAAAGGTTCCGCAGCCATGACGGAAGCGGGAAGCTTGGAGAGATTTCTCACAGCAGCGATAACCTGCGATGCGACCGATGGATTATGAAGATGCAGAAACATAGGACATTTTGTTGTACTCACGCGATCGCCCTGCGACAGTGCATATTCTGCCAAGGCAAGACCCAGGCCGGAGTTGGCACCAGTGATTAACCACACACGAGAAGAAGCCATTGCAAGGTCAATATTGGTCCTGGTTAGCAATCAGGACGATCTGGGGAAGAGATTGATTTTGCAAATCACGCAATACAGGATCACTTATGAATCAATTCCACAGTGTTGTACACGAACATGTTGGACGTGGTCCGATAACGGCTCTTTTGGAGGGCTTAAGGAGGCCAGTTCCTGGCAGGATCATACGTGTGAAGGGGGACAGGCTTTCCAATACCATATCGGAACCAGTCAAGGGCGGACGCATGGAAGCCGTCATTGACGGCGCTCGCGCTCAAAGAACACACCCCGGCTGATCTAGGAGGGTGGGCATGCTAATGATAGATTGTCTTCGAAGCACATACTCAACTACATAATCGCACAGACGCATCTCCACCTGAACAACAAGTCAGCGATGTTCACGTTTCTGACTCGCCGCAACGATAAACTTACTTGTTAACAACTAAACTATCGTTGTATATGACAGACTCGATAACCTACTTGCGGATGGAATACAAAAAGCCATCGTAGCCCTTCTCGCCAACGGTGGCAATGGTGGTACACTCCACATCCTTGTCGTCCTTGAGATGCGCCAACAACGCACGAACACCTTCACTCGGGGGGCTGGTGTGTGAAGGGTCGCTAACCTTACCATTGCGGACGACGTTGTCGACGATCTGTATATGGAGCAATCAGAAGGGGTTCCTGTACTTGGAAATGAATCACATACAATGACGCCGCCTGGCCTCACCAAGCGCTTTGCCTCGATGAAATATGTCAGGTTGTTCGGCTTGTCGGCATCGATGAACACGAGGTCGTATGGAACATCAGGGTGTTGCTTGACCAGAGTATCCGCCGCGGGGCCAACGGCAATCGTGACCTTGTCGGCGACACCAGCGGCCGTAACGTTCTGCTGGGCGACCTATATCCGTTGTTAGCGCATATTCGGGGCCTTGCACGGAGAAATTCCCACCCTGGCATGCTTCTCCTCAAGCTCACATGTTAGCAACTGACCACCCTCCGGCAGCGCACGAGCCAGCCAGATGGTAGAGTATCTGCGATAGGTGCATGTCAGAAACAGCTCTCGTTCCAAAAACAGGCCATAAAACGAAATGCAAGCGGCTTACCCGCCTAAAGTTCCGACTTCAAGGATCCTCTTTGCTTGAATAGACTTGGCGAGCAAGTTCAGCAACTTGCCCTGGGCGGCGCTAACGGCTATTTCAGGGAGCCCGTTATCATTGCTGTTCTGGATTGCCTTCTCCAAGGTTCCGTCGGGAGAGATTAGGAACGAGTTGTGATACAAATCTGAACGGATCCAATCGTTCTTTGTCGTCGGCAGTTCAAGAGCAACATAATCGGGGACGTTAGAGGCCATGTTGGAAGTGGAACTGGAATAGAAGGGTTCAATGGTACGAAGGTTTGTGGAGGACGAACGAATGAGTCTGAGCCCAATAGACCTAGGTCTGGTATTTATACCCCTCCGCAACGACCCCGGATGATGAGACAGCAGCGTAGCAGTTCTCGTCTGAATGGTCATCGGTGAGTAAGTCATGCGCAGCAAGCGCGGTGAGGATTAAGGATATTGGATCTTAATCGCGCCAACGCCTCGTGTTGGAGGTCAGTTGGCGCTGCAAGTCACAAGCGATCACCTGCGGAAGTTAATTCAAGGCGTCTGCAATATTGAGACGTTACGCATCCAACGTCAGAATCGGGCGTCACTCCTATCCTACGCCATGACATGCGACAAGCCGAAGCCTTACGAGTGCGCGGCATTCCATCTCACCGACGGTCGAAGGTGGATCCAGCACCACCTGCTGCAAGGCTCATCTTACCACCCGATCCGCGTCAACATCGGGACTAGCAGTGAGGACCGCCAAAGTCGCATCGTCAAATTTTAGGAGAAGTTAAAGCTGCGCCGCAGTAAGCCATATGCCTTGTATGACTTTGAAGAATTGATGCAGAATGCATTTACCCCACCTATCTTGCATGGAGGTTCTAGTGAAACAGATGTTCGGACGAATGTCGCAAATTTACGCGCGATGTTACGGACGTCAGATTTATGCCGCTGATAAACCATAAGATAGATTTAGGGCATAGTGGCTGGCATGGTGCGTGGTTCATGAGGAGGACATACAAAAAGAAATGGAGGATGATATAACAATGAACCCATCGCCGGCACCTCACGCCTTAACGGCGTACTTCCTCGTGGGGAAGTGGATCTCCTTCTTGTGCTGCTTGAGGGTCTTAAGCGACTTCTCATGCTAAGGGGATAATGAGTCGACAAGGAGATGCGCAGATGATATAGCAGGCATACCGGCGTCAGACGTCTCCGAATGGCACGGGTCCTCTTCGGACGGAGATCGAGAGGGAGGTACTTCTTGTTCTTGTAGTACTCGCGCAGGTTCTGCCTCTGCTTTTGGTTGATAACAGTCAACACCCGGGCAATCGACTTGCGGACGGTGTTGCTGCAAGGAATAGAAGGTTACAAAATGAAACGGCTAAGGGAAGAAGTGACATACATTTTGGTCAGTTTCGACGCAGAGCCGCCGGCGATCTTCTGCACTCGCAGAGTCAGAAGCTCGTTCTTGAGCTCGACCAACTGCTTCGAGAGGTCATTCTTGGACCTGTAGGCAATAAGCACATTACCCAAGACGCCAGTCAAGACACTACTTACTTCGACTGCAACTCGTACGCCTTAACTTTGCCCGGCATCTTGAAAATAGAGGGTCTGAACAGAGATAGGCGGTTCAGCGATATGTTCACAGCTACAGACGCCCAGGCAGCAGGGTAGCATAGGGACAGCGGTTAACTCACCTTGAGGAGGATGTCGTTGTCGGTGTCCGCCGCGATATCTTTGTGGTATGGACAAACGTGTGGGAAAGTGACTAGCTAGTTCATCAGCCACCGTTCCCACGGTCCACATTTGGCAGTGGCCCACCACACGATCTGCAGTCACTGCGTAGTACTTTCTCCATGATCAGCAGGGGAAAATATTTGTTTGTACGGACTACTGCGTCGATGTGTCAAATACAGGTGTTTCTTTGACATGCAATAAGCTCGCTCCTACTCTCTGAATTATGAAATTGCGCGATGATTTCTACTGACCAAGTCCTCGAACTTCACGAGAGCTCCTCCGAAGATGTCAAGCGCACTAAACTTCGTCAGAAGATGGACCTTGTCGGATGAGGCCACCCACCTTCCGTATGTCAAGTCGACTTTTCCTGCCGACAATTGCTCAACGAGGTCTAAATCGGACACATCTAGGAAGAGACTTGTCAGAGACATGATCGTCCGCGTACGACCTCGACAAACCCTTAGCTCCGCCGGCATATGTTGTCGGTACGTGCACCCATTCTCCAAGTTCTGTACAGCTGTTAGCGTCATCAAAATGGGATGCTCTGCAATGACGTACTAGCCACGAGTGCTTCGTCTATGCCCTGGCAAAGACCCTCCACGTCGGCAGCGTGGATGAGAAATTCACTGATAGATTTTCGGTGTCAAATGAGACGGTGAAGGAAACAGGGATGGACCTCACCTGCAATAGTTTGAAAGGAGATCCAGGGATTCTGACGACAACGATCCATCAATGTCCTCGTGCAGATGCACTGTCTTTACCTTTGCAAACTTCCATGTCCGTAATATCCTGCCATTTGTTCATCGCAACATACCATCTATCGCCCCGCCGTCGACAACTACAT